GACTAATCTCAGAATTTGGATTTTTTTTTGTTGTAAATTTCTGATTTTAATCTCAGATTTCTGATTTTAATCTTAGAATTTCTGAGAAATCCCATATTAAACTGAAATGATATTTAAAAATCAGTTAACTTTTTTTTTTTAAGTGTCCCTAATCCTCTTCTGTAAATATGCCACATGCAAAAGAGATATATATATATTTTTTTAATCAATTTGTGTTACCAACATCTTATCTCTGCATGGTGAAAGCAAACTTTGGTCGTCCTCCAGCTTTATTTATTGCTGATAACCGCTATTTACATCCTTTTAAATATGACTTTCTCTTTTTCTTTTTAGAGTATCTAAGAAAATCTGATTATATTTTATTCTGTGAAAACAGGAAACCGTGCGTTATTAAAGTTAAACGGTATGCTCATTAAAGCATATGGTCATACTGTTTCTGTAGTGTGATAATAAGTATTGCATGTGTCCGTTACCATATTAGGTCAATTTAAATATCTTAGTCGTGCATTGCTATAAAATCTTAAATACACACAATAATTAAAAAGTAGCGTTATTTGTTTCTATTGTTGATTGCTGTATTAGTACTACTGATTATTTGATATTTTTTGCATTCTTTCTTTACTTTTTGTCAGTTTTATTCAGCAACTGTGGTTTATATTTGAACTGGGGTGGACTTAATTTTTCTAATCAAATAGGTCTTTTCATCTTCTCTTAATAATTTCTTTTTTATTTATATATGCTTATTGTATTGGGAAAATCAACATTTTAGAAACAAGTAGCCTACATTATTTGTCCCATTTCAGTTGATTAAGAAATGAATGAATAAATACAAATACATGCAAATGGAATCATTCACTTTTAAGTTTGCAATATTCCTCTCTCATTATTTTATTATTTTTTTCAGCTTTTATTGTCATTACACTTTCACAAGTACAGAGCAAAGAAAAGAACACTCTGGATTTAACCCATCCACTTGGGGAGCAGTGGGCTGCCATTGTGCGGCGCCTGGGGAGCAGTGTGGGGTTAAGGGTCTATGCCCTAACCACTAGGCCACCACTCCCCCCGATGTTTTATTATATTTCACTTTGTGGATATCAACAAAACACAAAGGTCTTATGCCACTGCATTATCTTTTTTTGATCATACTTTGTGGCACGCGGCTCTTAGCAAACCCACGACTTAAGAACTTGTTTCATTAACTCTGAGTCAATGACAGTGGGTAGAAAAGTGTAGGAAGAGCCTTGTCACTACTTTCCGCTGTCCTGGTGGTGGGCTTCATTGACGCCTCTTTCGGCCAAGTTTACACAAACGCAAGATTGACCTCACTCACACAGACAGTTACTAAAGCCGGGAACTGTCCAGATCTCCATGAAACGCTCACTCTGTCCATTTAACAGGGGCCACTTTCATCAGAGGGCATTATGTGGGTCTATTCTTTTGTCACAGTATGGAGCGTCACTGACGCTCAGGCAGAATACATTAGCTCTGAAACAATAATTCTGCTGTGTGGTTTTTCTGAGAAGCATCAGCTGTGAGGAAATGTGTATTAGTGGGCAAAAAAGGAGAAGGACTAGTCTACTGATGTTTGTCAAAAATAATCAAAATGCATGACTAACGTCAAATGATTTGTCATTTTTGACCAATTGTTTATTCATTGCAAACAAAGTTAGATAATGTAGCTCATAGATAATTTTTATGCAAGTAGGTAATCAGTTTATATTGTCATGTTAGTCAAGCTGAAATATTTTTTTTGTGATTTGTGAGTTTTCCAGTGATATATTTGTTATGATAAAATAAATGAAACAAGGGTGTTTCAGAGATTTTATGTGTGTGTTTGTTTCCTTTAGAGAGGGTCAAATCTTCATAGGGTGCCCAGCAAAGTGCGCTTTTCCTCTTTCCTGTGCGTCAAATGGGAGCTATTGTTAGCCTGCAATGTTTTTTTTAAATAACTCTTGATATTCAATATATAGAAACACATCAGTCCACTGATTTTATTGCCACCAAATGAAAAAAACATCTGGAAAAACTTTTCTATTTTGTTTTGTTTTGTTTAAATAATAGACATAAGTTTTTATATTCCTCAATGAAAATTCCTCTTTTTGCATTTAAACTTATTCAATTTCATAGTGTATTTATTTTATAATCAGTTCTAGATTTTCTTTATTTAAAACAAAGCTTTACAAAAACGTGTTTAATTGTACTTTGGTCCATAGAAAAAAAATCTGAAGCCAATATTAGCCATTAAAAGCTTGATGGATCGATGTGTTTCTGCATGAAGAAATCTAACTATTAAAATAGATATTCTGTTAGTTTATTCACTAAATATTTCCTGCTTATCCACAGTCAATAAAATTGGGATTTAATCACATGTTAGATTATTAAAAAGATTAATTTTGTCATTACCAAACACTGTTACTAGACCCAGTTAATTGCCTAGAATCTTTTCCTTAGCATGTGCAATAGACTGGACCATCAAAGATAAAAACCTGTTAATTAATAATTTGCTTATGGATCATCATTTGCACCACCTCATGGAAGGGGAGGATCAGTATAAATACTGATTTATAAACCCTGTAATGATTATTTAATAATAAAACAATGTATATTGTTTGGAGTTACTTTACCTCCATATTGTTGGATTACATTCACATATCACCCTTTAAACCAAAGGTTTCAAATCTAAAGATTGTCTATGAAGTTAGTTTGTTGATGGTTCATTTTATTCAGACAAACCATTTGTTGCAATGAGTACAAATACTGCAGAAGTTATGCGGCCAGTACAAATACTAATTGAAAACAGAGGCAACATTATTTAAACCAGATGGAGAACAAAAAGCATGATTGGTAGGAATTATAATTTGGTTACAGAGTTTTCCTTTAACAACAGTGACATCTTGTGTTGAAAGCATAAGTAATGCACATAATAAAAAAAAATAACCCAGTAGATAACAGTAATAATAATAATACATTTTATAATTATAATTGGGGGCTACATTATGAAGTATCTATTTTTGTTATTATTATCAACATTTGGCTTTTTTTATTTAAACTGCTGTTAGTTTTAACGGCTACATTATTGTTAAAACATTTAGAAAAATAACTAAAAGTCCTATCAAATTGTTTGAATTTTTATTTTTGCATTTTATTTCTTGTAAAGTTTATCACCAATCTGTGAAAAAAACATTTCAATTAGCGTTGTATTTTAAAACTTAAAAGCATGCACCATCATGTGCATAACTATAAATTGGTCTGTGTATCTATAAAAAAAATTTCAAGTGATTCTTACCTTTATTATATTAGATATGTGTGTCATCACTTTCAAAATCAATATTAGATTTATATTTATATATATATATATATATA